TTTTTTGAGACAGGGTCTCACTATGTAGTTGAGACTGACCTAGAACTCACTGTTTAGCCCAGGCTGGTCTCAAACTCACAGCGATCCTCCTGCCTCAGCCTCCCGAGTGCTGGGATTATAGGTGTGAGCCACCACGCTCGGCTAAGCCTTAGTTTTTGTCTGTTAGGTACTCTGGGTCACAGGGGTGACTGAAATGCTTCTAGCTTCTTGATTTCAGGACTAGCCTAGTCTTAGAAAGTCTGGAATTTCACAGTGGCCTTTTCCCCATTTCTCTGCAGGCATTCAGGGCATTGTAGATGCCTACAGGCAAGCCTTGCCTCAAGTTCGCCTCTATGGCCCCACCAACTTTGCACCCATTATCAACCATGTGGCCAGATTTGCAGCCCAGGCTGCGTATCAAAGGACTCCCTCAGTAAGTTTTGTTGGTAACAGTAGCAGTGGGTTGGGAGGGTTGTGTAACAAGGGAATTTGTGGTTGAAATGTTGCGGGGGGGGGGTGTAGAAAGAATATCTTCCTGAATACATGTGTGGTCTTGCCCCCAGCAATACTTCGTGCTGTTGCTGTTGACTGACGGTGCTGTGACAGATGTAGAGGCTACCTGTCAGGCTGTGGTAAATGCCTCGAAGCTGCCCATGTCAGTGATCATTGTGGGTGTGGGTGGAGCTGACTTTGAGGCCATGGAACAGCTGGATGCCGACGGTGGGCCTCTACGCACACGGGCCGGGGAGTCAGCAGCCCGTGACATAGTGCAGTTTGTACCTTATCGTCAGTTCCAGAATGTGAGTAGGGGATAAGCCTGGAGGGCAAACCAATCTGGGAGATAGAAGCCCTCTCCTCAAATTCTGGGCAATTTTGTGTTAGATTTGTATCTTTTCTTGGGTTGAACTGTAAACTTTAGGAACCTGTTACTCCCCGCATCCCTACCTCAGTAACTTTACTCTTGTCCTTGCAGGCCCCTCGGGAAGCACTGGCACAGGCTGTGCTTGCAGAAGTGCCCACACAGCTGGTCTCCTACTTTAAGGCTCAAGGTTGGGCCCCACTAAAGATGCCTCCATCCCCAGCCAAGGTTCCTGCACAGACCCCTCAAGTCTAGGTTCTTTTGGCATTGCTCAGCCTCATGTCTCCAAGATCCTCTGTACCATGGCATGTGTTTGCTTCTGTTACTGCTACTCTGTTTTTTTGTTTTGTTTTTGAGACAAGGTCATGCTTTGGAGCCTGGCCTTGAATTCACTGTGTAGCCCAGGCTGGTCTCAAACTCGGCAGCAATCTTCCAGCCTCAGCCTCCCAAGTGCTGAGATTACACACCTACATTACCATGCCTGGCCCGTTACTGCTACTCTTGATCCCACCTGCTTGTTCCTGGCACCTCATTCAATAAAGACCAGTAAAGACCACTGCTCTTCCACAACTCAAATAATTCTTATGCCTTAGCCTTCTGAGTAACTGGGACTACAACCTTTTATTTGGAGACAGTCCTGCTGAGCTGTCCAAACCAGGCTCCAATATGTGACCCTCCTGCCTCAAGCTCCCAGAGTGCTAGGATTACAGTTCATATCAGTGACCTTAGGTTTTGTTATTGTTGTCGCCTTTGGTTTGTAGTACTCGGATTTGAAATCGGAGCCTCCAAACTGACCTATATCCCCAGCAGCCCCTCACCCCCAGTTCAGAGGCTGGGTCTTTCTAAGTCACTATGTTGCCCAGATTGGGCTTCAGCTTGCCATCATCATGCCTCAGCTGGGATGACAGGTGTGTGCCACCGTGCCTGGCTAACTTTAGATTTTGTTGTTTTTCTTTTGTTGTTTTTTAAGACAAGAGTCTCACTTTGTAGTGCAGGCTGGCTTGAACTCACAGTGATTCTCCTGCCTCAGCCTCTTGATTGCTGGGATTATAGGCATGCACCAGCATGCCTGGCCAGAATTCCTGATGATGAAGGGGAACAGAATATACCTGAATGTATAATTCTTCCCATGGATTCTAGTTTTTACTTCTGTTTTGTGCTGTGTGGTTTATAGCTGTATATATAAATAAGTTTTGTAAGCCGTGTATGTACGTGCAAACTTTTGATAGTAAAACTTCCTTTAAGCTGTTTACCACTCTGTAACCCTTAATAAACTCATTTATTCACTAAGCTGGTCTTGTTTGAATCTTTTGGCATCTTCCCAATTCAGAGGCAGACATTTCTTCCTGGGAAATTTGTAGAACTGTTTTTCTCCCATCCCTAGGTAGAACTCAGCCCTTTCCCTGTTTCCTCCATTTTTTGTTTGTTTGTTTGTTTGTTTGTTTGTTTTTACTCTGAAGTCCATGTTTGAATTTTAAAGATTCTTGGATCTGTAAATGAATTGGCCTGTTTCTTTGAGCAGCATCTTTCCCTTATCTGCCTCCTGAAGTCTTAGTAAAGAACCCTGTGTAAAGGCTACCAGGCTTGGATCAACTCTTGTGACTAAGAAGCTTTCCAGAGGTCCCAGAATTTTCCCTTCACCCACACCTAGCAATCTCAACATTAGGGGAAGCTCCCTGGAAGCTCTACTGTTAGAGTGATCCCTGGAGGAGGACAGCTCTGCATCCCATTCTGCCACTACCCTTCGTGAGCTGTGGGACCTGAGCACTTCCTTCTGTGTGGTTGTGAGGATTAAGTTAGTAATTTCTAGTGCAGGTTATCCACAGCATTGTCTCTTACATATGTTAAGTATTTCGTAAACATCAATGCTGCTACTGTATTAATATGGACTTATTCAAGAAGAGGCGTAGACCCTGCCATACTTATATGCCATAGGCAGCCAAAGCTCTCCCAGCAGAGCACTTCCCAGTGCTGATCCAGCTTCCTTCAGCATAAAGTTCAATTCTACTTCAACCATCAGCATGTTTAATGGGGATTAAACACTGGCACTGTCCTCTCCCTTCTCTGAGATTTGTGAACCATGGGCACGAACTCGATACAAGCATGTGAAACGTGGGTGCCCCCAGTTGCTTAGAATCTGGATCTTCACCTTGGGAAAGGCAGATGGAGGGTCGTTCTGGGGAGACAAATGGATTGTGCCAAGAACTGCTCTTGAGCACTTGCCGTTTGTCTCTTACTGCCCTCCTCTCTCAGTATTTCACCCCCAGAGACAAACACACCTGTAGGTGGAAAGTCTGAAGTGCAGATCTCTTCACGTCAAAAGTGAATTTTCCCAAGAAAACTTCAGTCTCATCGTCCTGGAGACCCTGGTGGGTGAAGAGTGAATGGAAGTACAGTGTAGCATATGCAGAGGGGAGGGAAAACAACTTGTTGAGGATTTTCTATTTTTTAGTAGCTTTATATGTGGTCTCGTGTTTGGTCTGTTATAGGGTGGGTAAGTATGGAATGTGGGTTTTTAGTCTGACAATGTGTGTCCCTGAGTAACGTCTCAGCATTACTTCATATCTAAAGAGGGAGACTCATATTTCATAGGTGTTATGTGGATGCAATACAGTAGTGCATGTACAGTGCTGGATGCAGAGTAATACCTAGTACTTGGATATGCAGCAGCTCTGACAGGCATACTCAGTATGTCCAGTTTACACATGAGCAAGCAAAGACTCAAATATGGGCACCAGTTCTCAAGACTGCCTGGTTTGTTCTAAGCAAAATGCCCCAGCTCCTGGCCTCAGCCACACTCACAAAGACTGCAAAGTCTTGTGGGGCACTGCTGGCATCCCCGGTGTGTGCCACACTGGGCGGTGGATGCTGCAGGGTGATGTCGCTCAGCTGCACGTGGCCTGCCAACCGGATCACCACCTGGCCCTGATCGCCCTCAAAAGCCCAGCAATTTCCAGGGAACACATCTGGCTGCAAGGTGGGAGATGGAAAGGAACCATCAGAACCCAAGGACAGTGACCACTGCCCATCCTCATCCATGGCCCAGCCCAGAGCTCCACCTCCACCACTGGGTCCTTACCCTGATCCCACCCAAAGCCCAGATCCCACCTGTGGCTCGGTCCCCAGCACTGCCAAGATTTTCCAGTTTCCCAGCTTCACTCAGAGCTTCACTTGGGCACAGACCCAACCTCCCCAAGCTCCCTGCCTGGCACCACACCCTCAACTCAGCCAGGTCCTGCTTCCTTTCTCCGGCACCCATCCCTTGGTCCCATCCCAGGATCCTGGTTCCAGGCCCACCTCCAGGATGACCGTAGGTGGCCGCGCATAGTTCCAGAAGCTGAAGCGATTCCAGAAGTAGGCCCTATTGGTGTCCTCGTAGTCCCGGGATGTCTTCTCTAGGTCAATGGAGGCTCCTGGAGCAGGAAGAAATCACCCTCAAAGGCTGCCAGGCCTTAAGACAGCTGGGGAGACGTCTATCAGCATCTGCATCTCCGTCAGTGTCTTTGGGTCTTACCCACAGAGCTCAGGGCATAGTCTGGTTTCTGCACGAAGTCCTCATTCAGCTGCTGCAACACGAGCTTGGCCACTCTCTAAAAGGGGAGGGGGACGGGAAGAGCTTGCAGGGTGGTTCACAAGTGGGCTGGGCTCTCCCGGAACTCCGTGCTCTGGAATGGACTTCGTGGGCCCCAGGAGAGACATGAAGTGGAACTCCGGGGTGGAGGTTCAATCCCAGGACCCCGCCAGAGGTTTTCCAAGTGTGTGGGGGACCGCGAATGGGCTGAGCCACTGAGCCAACCCAGTGCAGCTTCGGGGCGCTGCTTACCTCACTGTGGGCTGCGCGAACGCGGGCCACCTCCTTGCGGAGTTTATTCAGCTCATCCTGAAGGTGCTGCAGTTGCTGGCCGTGGAAACGCACGCGCTCGTGGTACGCGCTGCAGCGGGAGGCGGGCGCCCTGCGGTCAACTCCCGCAAGGCCCCCATTGAAGCACCTTTGGGCCGCCCGATCCCCACCCCAGGTGCCCTCCTTCACCTGGGAGTCAGCATCTCCTTAAATTCCTATTGGGTGAGAGGCAAATACAGAGACGCTCAGCGCAGCCTCCCTTTCTGTCAGCCCGGGGGCAGCCAGACTCACAGTGCTCGTTTTAGAGAACTGTCCCGCCTCCCCGCAATACTTGCCAGACTTTCAGGATCTCAGCCTCTCAGAAATCTGTGCCCAGCGCTTCCTATTAGCCTCTGGCTCTGCCCCCTCCCAGAAGCCCAGGGACTACCACAGCCTCCGCCTATCCCTGGACACAGTGCCCCGACTCACATTCTCCAAAGGAGGAAGCAGATGCAGGAGCCCCCAAGAGAGTGCTGGGGAGAGGGAGGGGGTCAAGAAAAGGAAGAGGCAGGGAAGGGGGTTTCTTGGCACGGTCGGACAAGGAGAGGAGAGCGGTGGGGGAGGAGCGAGGGGACACGAGAGGGTCTGAAGGAGGAATGGGCTGAGGGACGCCAGGGGAAATTAAGTGTCCAGAGCGGGGCCCCAGGGGATCTGCCCCTCACCGGCCAGAAAGACGCTCAGCAGCGACGCAGTGAACAGGAAGCGGACAGAGCAGACCTCTCTGGGGGAACGGAGAGGGGCTGAGGTCCCAGGGTCCTGGTCCACGCAGCCCGAATCCCAGGGACGCCACGGATGGGAATCGACTGGAGCCTCACCCGCTCTCGCCTGGCCTAGACCCGCCCACGCAGCGCCCGGGGCGCCTCCGCGATCCCTCTGACCTGCACACACCCAGCAGCACGTCTCGGACCAGGGCCAACAGCACTTTCAGCACCTGGAAGAGGCGGCCTGGGGGAGGAGAGGCGGATCAGAGAGGGGAGCCCTAGCACGGCTCTGGGGGCGACCACAAGCTTTCCGGGTTCCTCAGGGACTCGGGAAGGAGGCCGGGGCCCAGGCAGGGGCTGGACACACGACGGGAGTCTCGGAGAGGGGCCGGGGCCCTGCGTAGCTCGGGTTGGCCTGGAGCGTACTCAGGAAGCTCTCGGTCGCCCGCGGGGCAGGCATCTGCTGCCTCAGATCCAGAGTCGAGAGAAGGCTCCCCTGTTCCTCAGAGACTGCGGGAGACGCAGCCGGTTCTGCGGGAGCCCACGGACTGCATTGGGGCCTTGCACATCGGAGGCCCATATTTCCCCCCAGGCCCGGCAGCAGGTTCCGGAGCACAGACGAGGTAAGCTCCTCAGACGGGAGTTAGCTCAGCCACATTCCCGTTCCAGGCCTCACCTGCAAGCCTGGTAGCCTGGGGTGGGGCCTAGTCAGGAGTTAGCCCCACCTCCAACTGAATCCCCGCCCCAATTGGTGCGGCCCTCTTTCCAGATGGCCAATCACGTCCATAGGGAGGAGCTCCTCTCTAGAGCCCAATCACGGGGCTTCCCCGCCCCTTCCCAGAGCGGTCCATTGCACCGCCCCCTAAGCGATCTTACTGAGCGCCTTCGGCACAAGAGGCTCCCGGACCAAACCGTTCCGCCTTCCACCCAGCACCTCCCAGCAGGCCCGCCCCCTCCCTCGGAGCCACGGGTTGGACCCCGCCCGCACCCGAGGCCCCGCCCCTCACGGTTGCCGCGCCACACGCGGTCTCTCTGTTGTGGCTCCGAGGCGCAGGCTCCTGGCGAGGGCTTCCAGGCCATGAGGTTCCTCCAGGCAGTCCCGGGCGCAAGGCGGGCTCTCCGCAGCTCGAGCCCCGGGTCTTTCTGCCCTCAGGCTCCCCGGGCCCTGGCCCTGGAGACCGGTACCCGCTGCAGTCCCCTGAAGAGACGCTGTCTGAGCTGTTGCTGTTCTCGCTGTAGAAGTTGGGCAGGTTCTCGGGTGGGGACGCAGCTGAGCCGGGGCGGGCGCTTCGCCGCATCCTGACCCACAGACACGCTTCAAGGACGCCAAGTTGCCACGAAGCCACACAGCCACTCGACCCTAGACCCTCCCCAGCCGCTGCGCGCCGCGGTGCCCACGGACCCCAGCCTGAACCCGCTGTCCGCGTGGCTGGACTCCAACTTCCCTCCCTGTCTGCGCCTGGCAGCCACCGTCACAAAGAAGACGTGACATTACAGAGGCAGTCGTGACGTCACTGGGAACCGTGAGAGCCTAGGGTTCTTTCTGACGTTTAATGCGAGCATTGATATCACAACACTTCCCAGAAGACACCACCTGAAACTACAATGTAAAACGATTTCTGTCACCCTTCCTTGCGTGCGTGCGTGTGTGTGTGTGTGTGTGTGTGTGTGTGTGTATTGAACCCAAGGTCTCTCTACCACTCAGGTGTACCCAGCCCCGCCCCCCTTTTGAGATAGGGTCTCAGTAAATTACCCAGGCTGGCCTGGCCCGTACTCAGTTCTGGATCTCAGCCTCCCCGAGGAGCTGGCATTACAGGTACATGCCACTATGTATGTCCAGCCTCTCCCCTGCTCTCGACACTAACTATATATTTGACTTATTTATTTTACTTTTGCTTGTCATTGGCGCTAGACATAGTTTGAGGGTGTGATTTTTTTTTCTTTCACTTCTATATCCTCCAGCACATGGAAAGTCCTACCCTGTAGTAGGTGCTCAGAATTTGCAAAGGAATGAATCGAGTAGAGCATTACCCAGGGCACTTGTAAACAAACACTGCCTTCTTGCCCTTGCAAACCCTTTTGTCCTTTTCTGTAATCCCAGTCAACAGGCCTGAGAATTCTGACCTGAGAACCTGTTGTCCCTTCTCCAGAAACATGTTCCCCATGGGTCTGTGGGGTGAGAATTCAGTATGCACCAGTCACCATACTCAAGATCACATACTTAAACAATGGAGAAGGGAATGAGAACTCTTGGATTGTCATGCTGGGAAACCGGAGGTTCCCCAACTCCTGCTGTACAACAGAATGTAACACTAGTGTAGCTTACAGAAACTCATGTTCTTAGGTTCTCCTTGAGACTCAGCATATCCGGGAGGGACCCAGGAATGTGGTTTTATTGTTTTGTTGTACTGACAATTGAACCCAGTAAAATTTACCATTAAGCTACATCTGCAGCTTTTTTTTGTTTTTTGAGATATGGTCTTGCTATGTAGTTCACCTCGGCCTTGAATTCACTATGGAGCTCAGGCTGTCCTCAAACCCACAATCATCCTGTTTCAGCCTTCCCAGTGCTGGGATTACAGGCATCTGCCATCATGCTAGGTTCCAGTTTCTTCCTCTCCCTCATCTTGCTTTCCTTCTCTTTTTTGAGACCAGATCTCACTAAGTTGCCCAGGCCAGATTTGAACTTCCTACCTCAGCTTCCTAAGCATCTGAGATTTCAGGTGTGAGCATCTGGCTAGGAATGTGCATTTTAAACAACCATATGTACAATACTCACTTATGCCCACACTTTCAAGTAAGGTAAAGTGTTCTTCACAAATTACACAGCTAGGCGAACAGTCCAGAGAGGGCAAGGACTTACCTGAGACTGCTTAAATGTGTGAAACCACAAATTAGAATGTCAAAATCCTGCCTTCCAGAACAATACTCTGTCATCTGTCACATCATACCTTGTTTAGAATATTAGAAAGTGGAAGTAGAAATCCTTAAAGGAGTTGAAGCACAAGGACAATCTGTTAAGGTGTGTTCCAACCTAAAGGGGAGTCAGCCATGCCAGGCTCCAGAGAGGTGATGTCAGTCCTGGCTTGCTTAGATTTACCTGCTGATGAATATGGTGCCTGTGATCTACTCTCCTCCGTGAGTCTCGTAATCCAGTCCAGCTGACAATATGAACTGGCACAGACTGGGAACTTCTTTGAGTCCCAGTGTTATGTGTCAAAGAAGGAGAGGTGAAGCCCTCCCCCAACATCGGAGTGCCTGGAGTCTAGCCTGGACCTTGCTTAGAAAGAAAACAACCATCCCTCTTGTTTGGTATTTTGTCGCGCGCCGCTTGCCAGCAAGAAAGCACGCAACAGTTAGGATCCTTCTGAGGCTTTATTAATTGTGTGGAGAAGGCACTCAAACAAAGGAATACACTTCCTTATATAGACTAGAGTTCTTCCACATTAGGCAACGCGCCATGGCAACAATTACTCCTCCAATGAGGATTTTTCCTAGTGTAACAGACTATAGCCAGTGTGGAGAAATCACCATCTCGCGATCCTCCATTACATGTCTTACATCTCATATTCATATATAAATCATTATAATTATAGCAAAGCAGGCAAACTCCTTTATCTAGCAAGATAAAATAACTATATCAGCCTAAAGCACTAATTGGGCACTAACTCAGCAAACTAGGCAGACATGCTCTCCACATCTCACCCTTCTTTTATATAAAATGAGGCTCAGGAATATGTCTGTCTTAGGTTGTCCAGGACTCAAGCAATGCCTTACCCGTCATGGAGAATTGTACTTAGATTTGAAAGATACAATCTCTGTCTTAGGTTGGTCATTGATGATCCCAGATCTTACCCGTCTCTGACTACTATTCCATTTGTGCGAGCCATACCTGAGGGGAGATACCAAGTTCTACGGCCAAAAAAGCCTGGCGCAGCAGATGAATCTGCTGTCGACGGCGTTGACGTGCCATCCAACAGAGGCAACAACTGATAATGCCCAATACAGAAATTACTATAATAAACACTACAATAATCCATCTTGCAAACCTTTTCAAACTACTGGCGGGCTGAAACAAGAAATCCCACCAAACATGATTGGAATCTTGAAGAATGGCATTGTGTATTTGCATCAATTGACCTGCAGCAATTACCGTAGCTATTCGATAATTATCTGCTGCAGCCTTCATCTCTGTCAAAGACCTTTTCAACAAATTTGATTGCTGTAATATTTCTGCAATATTCAATGTGATTTCAGGCACCACCAACTCAGGAAGTACAATTGTCTCATGAATTCTTTGTACAATGGGTAAGGACACATTAATATAGATATCTCCATTCCACAAAAGCCAAGATCTATTATGCAAACATCCACTAAAAGGACTAGATAATTGCATCCTACTCAATTCAAACTCATCAGAACTGGCCAAGCAGATGGAATTAGGACCCACATCATACAATGCTGTAACATTAGTCATGGGTAAAACTGATAGTATACAGACATTTTTTGAATGTTGTAAAAGACAAGGCTCTGTTTCTCTTGTTAGCCCCATACAATATAATCCCTTATCTGTTTCCTTACAATTTTTCAAGGAATATGTAATATTATCAAAACCCGAACTTTGATTTACATGAATATGACTTCCATAAATTTGAGGAACAACAAAATGTTTTTCCATAATCAATGGTAACATCACAAAAGGACATAATTTCTTAAAACGTTGAGGGCGTAGCAATTCCAACCTTCCTGCACACCATTCATCCGTGCAGAGGACTTCTGGATGATCTTTGATGATCCACCAACCATCCGTGATATTTAATCGTTCTCGCCAATTTCCAATCGTTGCTGTGGTGAGACGCCGCTGAAATTTCTCGATGATCATGAGTCTGAAGGAACGGAGGCAATCTCCCCCTTCTCTTTCTGTTGTGGAACAGATGAGCGCTGGCAGCGACGTGTCAATCGGCTGGGCACCCAGACGGGGTCCAAGCGATCCTGTGGAAAAACACAAATAGCTCCCCTGGATCTGTGTAGCACAGGATCCGGTCCATGCCATTGGCCTGTTAAAACATCTTTCCACATAATGGTTTCAGTACTTGCAACAGCTTTGGAGTTGTGCCTATCGGCAGCAGAATGTCCTGCATCATCCAACACCAAGAAATTTAGGGTAAACATTACCAAGGACAAAGAAGCTCCAGGCTTTAGTGTTGGAACTAGGGCACTCTTTTGTTTTTGAAGATAACTTTTGAGGGTGCTATTAGCACGTTCCACAATTCCTTGTGCTTGTGGATTATAAGCTAATCCTGTGATATGATTCACTTGCATCATAGTGCAGAATCTTTCAAATGAATTTGAGGTATAGGCAGGTCCATTGTCTGTTTTTATGGTGGTCGGCTTTCCCCAAGCAGACCAAGCAGCAAGACAATGAGTGATCACATGACCCACCTTTTCTCCAGTATGGGCTGATGCAAAAACGATACCTGAATGAGTATCCACTGAAACGTGCACATATTTTAATGTGCCAAAACTGGAAACATGAGTAACATCCATTTGCCACAAATGAAGAGGTGTTAAACCTCGTGGATTTACACCTACATGAGGCACAGTACGGTAAGAAGCACAGGTCTTACATTGTGATGTAATGTGTCTGGCTTGATTGCGCGTAATTGGAAAACGTTGGCGCAATGTGGCTGATGGAACATGATATAGGGAATGAAATTGTTCTGCCTGCTCCTCGAAGGAGAGTAGAACATGCTTAGTAGCCATATCTGCCAGTCTATTACCTTCTGCCATAGGTCCAGGAAGCAAAGAATGTGCTCGCAAATGCTGAATGAAGAAAGGAGCGGAGCGCATCAAGATAATAGATCTTATCTGCTCAAAAAGAGCTCTTATTGGACTATTTGAGGAAATATTTCCGGTGGCTTCCAATTTACTAACTGCATTGACTACATAGTAAGAATCACTGAATATATTTAAAGGTTCTTGATACTCTTGCAACACATGAGCAACTACGGCACATTCTACTTGCTGAGGTGATGTAAACTCATAGGTCTTCTGAAAAGACTTCCCATTTATAACATAGGCACCAATACCAGTACTTGACCCATCCGTGTAGATCGTTAAGGCATGCGGTATGGGCTGTGACATGGTTTTCTTTGGAAAAATGAGATGCTTACACAATGCAAACTGCAAAAGTGGATGCTGTGGGTAATGATTATCAAATTCCCCATCATAAGCACATCTTAAAATGGCCCAAGAATCCACACAAGAACAAAGCACCTTAAGTTGCTCTTGGGTATAAGGTAATATGATCTTTTTCCGGATAATCTCCAAAATGCATTGCTGCTGCCTGCAATCCTTTCATTATGATTTGAGCAACGGCTTCAGGATAATAAGATAACACTTTATTTGATGATGTATTTTGATGCACCCAAAGTAATGGCCCATTCTGCCATAAAACCGCTGTAGGATATTGATCAGTAGAGATAACACATAAACTAAAATTTTTATTTGGATCGATCCTGTTTAATTGAGCTCCTGCGATTGCATCTTCCACCTTCTTAGGGCTTCTCGTGCTTGATCTGTTAACTCTCTATGGGAAGTCACATTGGAGTCCCCTTCCAAAATGCTAAAAAGAGGCTGCAACTCCTTTGTGGATAACTTCAAAAATGGACGAACCCAATTTATATCTCCCAATAATTTTTGAAAATCATTCAAGGTGGATAACTGAGCTGTTCTAATTGTGATCTTCTGTGGTTTAATGCTGTGAGGGAATATTTTTGACCCCAAGAATGAAATTGAATCTCCCCTTTGTACTTTAGATGGAGATATGAACAAACCTTCACGTCTTAAAGCTCTTTCTAAATCTGAATAAGCTTGCTGTACTTGCTCCTGGGAATCTCCACACAGCAGAATATCATCCATATAATGATAAATTTTTAGCTCCTCATATTTATCTCTAATTGGTTGAATGGCATTAGCCACATACAATTGGCATAATGTTGGACTATTGGCCATACCTTGTGGCAACACTTTCCATTGATATCTAGCATCTGGTTCTGCATGATTAATGGCAGGCAATGTAAATGCAAAGCGTGGTCTATCTTTAACATTTAAAGGTATGGAGAAAAGACAATCTGTGATGTCCATTACAATAATAAACCAATCCTTTGGTAGTGCTGATAACAAAGGTAATCCCCTTTGTAGACCTCCCATTACTTGCATTTGTTTATTGATGGCTCTCAAATCTTGTAATAATCTCCATTTTCCTGACTTCTTTTTTATTACAAAAATTGGTGTATTCCAAGGGGAAACAGATTTCTCTAAATGACCTAAACGCATTTGCTCAGCAACTAGATCATGAGCGGCTTTCAATTTTTCAGAGACAAGAGGCCACTGAGGAACCCATACCGGCTTCTCTGATAGCCAGTGTGGTGGTACAGCCTTCATGATATAAAGATTTCCAATCTAAATATTGGCCCATACCTAGGCAAGCCTTGACTAGTCCAAACCAATCACTGGGCGTCATGGCTAGACTACCCAAGCGCTCCACTAAGACCTGTGTGTAAGTAGCATTAACTCCATAGGTTTTCATTGCCTCCACCAAAGTTTTAATATGCTCAAGAGATATTGGCTCATGATATCTCTGTTGATTGGCATCTTCAAAAACAGGAAAGGCCAAGGCTATTTTTCTTCTACTCTTAGCTGTACAAAAGGACAAAAGATTTTGCCCACCAGGTGGCGCTGAAGATCTTACTTCAGTTGCCTCCCAATATGGCGGTGTAACTTCCCTAATTTCTGTTATTCCCCGAGACGGCGGATTAACTTCCCTAATTCTTTGTTCCTGTTTTCGCCAAGATGGCGATGGAGCTCCTTCTTCTTCCTCCTCCTCATCAGAAGAGGAAGCAGAAAAGGTGCGGCTCACTTCTAGTGTCTGAAAATTACTCACTAATGTTGACTGATTTTTATTTTCTTCTTTAACTGCTTCTTTAACTGCTTCTTGTTGCTTGAATTTTGCTAGAGAAGGATACAGCCTTTTATCCTCCCCCAGCCGTCTAGGGTCCTGGCTGTGGAGCCCTAGAACTTCCTCTTTTCTTTCCTTTTCTGTTCGGCTCGAGCTCTGTCTCTCTTTGCTTTCTCTTTTCTTATCTTTATCCTCCTCTGTTTCTGATAAACTATCTCGATGCTCCTCGAGAGCCAGCTGTCCATCTCTCAACACATCTAAACATCTCTCATCTTCAAAACATGCATCAATAATTTTCCATATTGGATACACTCCTACTCGAAGACGCCCCTGTTCTCTTTTTAACTTTAACTCTTTGCCTAATTTACCCCAAGTCTGTCTGTCAAAGGACCCAGAGGTCTCAAACCAGGGCGCTTCCTTTTTAATCTCCTGCAAAAAAGTTTTCAACACATGTTCTGACAATTTTATTCCTCTTACTTTTACTAGCGAACTCAAGGTTCTTATTAGGGGTGAAGAAGCAGACACTCCCATATCTATCGAGATACTTACCTCTCAGAGCGAGGTCGCCTCAGTTCTGAATCCTCCTGTTCAGCACAGGGGCCTTCTCCGTGCCTGGATCTGTTATCTTGAGATTATTCCCAGCGTCCCGGGTTTCGGCACCAGTTGTCGCGCGCCGCTCGCCAGCAAGAAAGCACGCAACAGTTAGGATCCTTCTGAGGCTTTATTAATTGTGTGGAGAAGGCACTCAAACAAAGGAATACACTTCCTTATATAGACTAGAGTTCTTCCACATTAGGCAACGCCCCATGGCAACAATTACTCCTCCAATGAGGATTTTTCCTAGTGTAACAGACTATAGCCAGTGTGGAGAAATCACCATCTCGCGATCCTCCATTACATGTCTTACATCTCATATTCATATATAAATCATTATAATTATAGCAAAGCAGGCAAACTCCTTTATCTAGCAAGATAAAATAACTATATCAGCCTAAAGCACTAATTGGGCACTAACTCAGCAAACTAGGCAGACATGCTCTCCACAGTATTTTATAGACCTTCAAACTCATTTGAACACCTAACAACTGAGAAATAGAACAGAGCTATCCAACCTCAGATTTGAGATGGAAATGCTGAAGCACAAGAAGGGACCATGTCCAACTTAAAGCCATGCAAGACCCTGCTCCTCTGATGATCTAATCTTGTCTGCTGCTGCCGCCTTACACATTCCTTGTATTCAGGCCCAAATGAACAAATCACTTGTCTCAGAACACACCCCACATCCCTCTTCACTGCCTGGATGCTTGGCTCTGCTCCCAACATCTGTCCTCAAAACCCGCTTTTATTTATTTGTTTGTTTATTTATTTTTGAGACAGGGTCTTGCTATGTAGTTCAAGCTAGCCTTAAACACACTATGTAGGCCAGGCTGGCCCTGAACTCATGGTGACCCTCCTGTCTTAGCCTCCTGAGTGCTGGAATTACAGACAAACACCACCAAAATGGTTCCAAAACCCATTTTAAATTCTCCTTTTTCAGGAAAGTCCCTCTCCTTTCCTTTCTCAGACTTCCCCATCTCTGACCCTTTCCTACTGTGATGGTGATTGTAGGATGGAATTTCTTGGGTATGTTAGCTATTGGATTTCTTGGAAGCACTGGGAGACAGAGACACACATCCAATTCAATTTTCTGTAGCTGAATCCCACCTCAGTAGTCCTGCACAGAGGAAGTACATTTCTAGAATAGAGTCGATGGCCTGGAAATGCATTCAACACACAGTTTCAGGCTGCAACATTTATTCTTTTGTTCAGCACAATTATTTCACATCTGTTAATGGTAATAACCTAAGCAAGGAACTTTATATCCAGAAAAATGCACACATCCTTAATATTTTAGATTAGTTCAAAGGTTTGGAGACTCTCTGGAAGCCATGTATGCTCCCACTATTGTCCTGGGAACCCAAGTTAAGGACCTCTAGCTCCTGGTTAAAAAACATATGGAATGGGGAGGGGAGGAGGGTGTGAAGGGAGGGCAGGGACAAGGGGAAAAAATGAGAACCAAGACTTGTCATGTAGAGGTACAAGATCCCAACAATGAATATAACTGTACTGTATCCCTAAAATGTACCAATAAACTCAATTAAAGCTGAAAAAAAAAAAAGCATATGGAGCCAGGCATGGTGCATACCTGTAATCCCAGCACTCTGTATGCTGAGGCAGGAGGATTGCTGTGAGTTCGAGACTAGCCTAGGCCATGTAGTGAATGCAGGTCAGCCTCAAATACATAGTGAGACCTTGTCTAAAAAAAAAAAAAAAAATCATATGGAGCAGATAGGAGTGGTGGCACACACCTGTGATCCCAACACTTGGGAGGCTGAGGCAGGAGAAACATCATGAGTTCAAGGCCAGCCTGGGCTACATACCAAGATCCTGTCTAAATAAAATAAAAAATAAATAAGCATATGGAACAACTATTATGTGCAAGCTATGGATGCATTGCACTAATTCAATAAATATATTAAATGTCTATAGCATTAATGCAGGGGCTAAGGAATTTTACCCATTCAGTGTTTTGAGGGTTTACTGTGTACCACATCCTGAGCTGGGAATACAGAAATGAACAAAAAACAACATGAGTACTATGCCCTTGAGGTCTCATAGGCTAACAGGTACCAGACTGGGGTTCTGCCCTCTCTACCCCCACCCTTTCCCAGTCCCTCACCCATGGGAAGTGATGAAGTCTGAGGCATCCTGTCAGGTTGAAGCTGCTGCAGGAAGGGAGGGCTGAGCTGACCATAGGTACCTTATTCCTACCTCTCTGTCCTCCCTCCCTCTCTACCCATGTCCCCCAGGCTTGCCACCTATGTGTTTGACTAAAGGGCAGGGACTGCTGAACCTGTGGGGTGAGTCCAGTGAGTCAGAGGCAACTCAGGCAGAGGTAGAGCCAGTGACACTGGGGCCATGGCTCTGACTGTGTGTGTCCGGAGACTCATAGGGCTGCCGGGAACCCACGACAGACAAGTACAGCTCAGCTTTCGCGGTGAGGTTGCCAAGGGTGCTCTAAGGATTTGTGGAACTGGGAATCTCCATTCTCTAGACCTCCAACCCAATACCTGGCCATCTCAACAGCTTTTTCCTTTATGAGATAGCCCTGACTGTCTGCCTCTTTCCCTCCTCATTTTCTATCTTTCTTTAATTGTGATTCCAGGTGGATTAGACGTGGAATGAAGGGTGGGGGAGGCAAGTGATTTTTTTGGGTGAGGAGGGGCTGATAAATGACTAGTTTCAGTTCTGAACAGGCTTTACCCAGAAAACAAGGAAAATTCACTGTGGTCAAGAAGCAGATATTGGAGAGGTCAGTATAGTTGGTTTATGAATGGGGAGAAGCTGGTCTGTCTTGTTTCAGGTCCATCCTTGGGTTAAGGGACTCATTCCTGAGGTTGGAGAGGTATAGTCCTAGGAAGTGGGGTCAGTTTCAGGTTTGAGGAATCAGAACCAGTTTGGAACAAGTGATTTGCAAGATTGGGGGGATTAGTTCTTGATTGGTAGTTAGCTCCAGGTCATCCCTAGATTAGAGTCAACTCCATCTTGGGGGGTCAGTCTAGGTTTGAGAGACCAAGTTTGGAGTGTTAGCTTCTATTTCAGGGTTGGGAATAGGCCGTGGACTGGGGGTCAGGATCAGCCCAGCATTGGTGGTAACAAGCTTCTTCCTAACCCCAGTTGTTCCGTTGGCCTCATTATGGAGCTCCACTGCCTGGGGAAAATCTGTCTGTGCAGGTGGTCAACTGCAGCCATGTGTTCAGCCCCAGGTTAGTAGGCCTGTGGGAGCCCAGGATGTGAGAGGGGTTGGAGATGGCTGGTGCCATTTGCCTGGGTCACTGTTCAGTCCCATGCTACTCTCCTAGGTCTCTGGGGACTCTGGTTATCTCCTTGCAGCAATTACAGAGTGCTGGGCATTTGGTGATTCGTGAGGCCCTAGTGGATAAGAATCTTCGAGTGTCCCCGGTAAGTCCCACCAGTCATCACCCTGCCACCTCCAAGCCTGAGAGTCCCTCTAGATACAGGGTTCCATTTGACCTAGGGGAAAACTAGCAACCTAACAAGGTCCTCTAACCAGGGCTTTTTTCACTGAAGCCCCTACCTGAGTTCTATTTGGGCTAGAACCAGTTCAACATGGGGTAAAGGGGTGTGGCAACAGGGGAGATAAGGAGTTCTCAAAGTGAACCTGGCTGGACTTTCCTGGTGTTTCACACAAGTTCATATAGCTCAAAAGTGGAACTTCAAGTCTCAAATCTACCACTTTCCATCTAAGAAACTGGACAAATTATTTAGCATCTAAGCTAAAGTTTCCTCATTTACACAACATGGAGTCATAGAAAGTGTAGTGTTTCTCATTCAATCTGTCAGTCAGTGGGTAAGCTCTTATATAAAACAACTGCAGTGCTGAATAATGGAGATTCATTGATGAGCAGAACCAGATAAGGATCTGCCCTCTTGGAGCTCTCTAGCTAAATAGGGAAGCAAACATTAAGCCAATATTCACACACAAAAAATGTAAAATTGCAACTAATGGGGTTACAAAAGAGCTGGCAAAGAACTGGAACAGTGTATAACAGCACTGTGGGATATACTAGGGGTCAGAAAAGGTTTCCCAAGGAAGTAGTATATGAGCTTGGAACTGAAGCATTATATGCAAATTATACGCGCTAAGAGAGAATGTTCTAGGCAGAAGAAACAATATACAAAAGCCCAGTGTCCTGAAGAATAGTCAGGGTGCAGAGCAAGAGTAGAATCTGGAATGACAACTGAAAATGTTGGCAGGGACAGTGCCATGCAGAGCTGTGAAGCCGACAGTAAGGGATTGGCCCTTTTAAGAGGTAACTTACATATTAAGTTCTTAACAAAATTGTGAATAGTTAACATTATTGCTAATTAGAGAAGAACCATACATCACCACAGATGCAGGCCAGGAGGGTCTCTGTTCATAGGTGGAGTAAAAGGCATTGTCCTTTGGGCCTCTTTTAGCCCCAGAGCACTTTGAGGAACCCTAGGGCCCATTGTATCTGGCTTCAGATCCAGGTGGAGCTTGACCTGAGGTACCAGCCTCCAGAGGGCGCTGCTGGAGCCTGGGCAGAGGAGGATTTTGGGTCACCCATCCGGGACAGGTAATCCTCCCTGCAACCTGAGCAAGGCCTGGTGCTCCCAGCTCAGGAAGGCCCTGGAAAGGGAAAAGTGACCCCCCATTCCAATCAGTCTGCTGGATACAATGACTGTTAAGATCCATGCAAGCTGGGTTGCAGCTTTGTAGTCAGGCCTCCCTCTCTTTTCTCCTCCTCCCAGCTCAGAGTTGATCATCCCCAATGTGGGCTTCCAGGAGCTGGAGTAAGTATGTGGGGATGACCTGGGGTCACCAGGGTCACTCTTAGGGTTAGGAGCCAGTGATATGGAGTTAGTTCCAGAATCTGGGATCAGGATTGAATCAGTGCCAGGGTCAGTGGTCAGTTCTGGAATCAGGGAAAGAGTTCTAGAATTAGAAGGGCCCCCAGGTTAGTCTGCCCTGGGATCAAGCCAAGGGTCAAAGGTCAGTCAAGGGTTGTCCAGAAATGGGTGACAGGTCCCAGGCATGTCCTGTGAAAGTCTTTTCTGTCAGGCTTAGGGAGGCCCGTTTGGAGCGGCGGGCAGTGGCTCTAGGCCGCAGGCTAGCGCGAAGCCTAGGCCCGCAGGATGATGAGGAGAATGAGCTGGAGTTGGAGCTGGAGCTGGACGATGAGCCCGATGTGGAGCTTTCTGGGGTTGTGTTCAGTCCCCTCAAGAGGTAATTTGAACCCACCCACCCTTGCTCCCACACCCTGCCCACACATGTGGACCCACTCTCATCTACCTTCACAAACATAGTCCTAGAGTATGGGTAAAGGGTGCATATCTTGGTGGTCAGGGGCCGATCACTCAGAGGCATACACACTGCCATGATGAAGGTCAGTCACACTAGCTCAACACTGGTAGGTGATAAAAACTCGATGAGGGCAGATTTTGCAGTGTCTCAGTGCTTAGAACAGTGTTGGCACATAGGTGCTCAATAAAATTTTTGGGGGGGTTTGAGACAGGGTCTCACTATGTAGTTGAGACTAACCTGGAATTCACTATGTAGCCCAGGCTGGTCTCGAACTCACATCGATCCTCCTGCCTCAGCCTCCTGAGTGCTGGGATTACAGGTGTGCGCCACCACGCCCGGCTAATACATTTTTGATAAGTGAATGAATAATATCATGGATCCAGGAATAAGTCAAATTCTGTGTGCAGACTAGCCCCAAAAGTCTCAGAATCCAAAAGTGCAGAGGGAAGAGAAGACTGCCCCAGTACTGTGTGTGTGTGTGTGTGTGTGTGTGTGTGTGTGTGTGTGTGTGTGTACACGTGTATGTTGGTGGGGAAGAGGGAATTGAGAGCTGATCTTAAATTTTTCTGTAGCCGAGCCCGGGACCTGGCCCACCGGGAGCACTTCCAGGTGTCCAGAGCCCAGGACTTCCAGGTACTGCTTTCCTTCCAGTCCCTAACCCTCTTGCACCTCTTGTTCTGTGTAGACTTTCCTCCCTCTACCCTGGAAGGTCTAGCTTCCTGTCCTCCCCTTTCTGAACCCCTTAGGTGGGAGTCACCGTGCTAGAGGCCCAGAAACTGGTGGGAGTCAACATTAACCCCTACGTGGCTGTGCGTGTCAGGGAGCAGCGCCGAGTTACTGCCACACAACGTGGGACCAATTGCCCCTTCTACAATGAGGTGGGTGAGACCAAGAAAGAGGTCTGAGAGAATGGGCAGGACCCAGAAAGGACCCTGAGGGGGTGTGGCTTGGTGTCGTTTAGCCAAGTGCCCGGCCTGTGGGTGGGCAGGGTTATTGAAGGAAAGGGTGAAAGAGGCACCCAGGTGCTGTGCTGTAAGGACCACCTTCTCTGCTAGAGGCTGGGCCAAGATGGCAGGGGCCCTTCACAGCTAACTTCTCACCCCCACTTCAACCCAGTATTTCTTGTTCGAATTTCATGGGACCCTACTTCGTCTTCAAGAATCATTACTGGAGATCACGGTGAGGATGGTAGGGGGCAAAGGTTTCCATCAGAAAAGGTAGGATGACCCGAAGGTGGTGGTTCCTGCCTGTAATCCCAGCACTCTGGGAGGCTAAGGCAAGAAGTTCACAAATTGAAGCCCAACCTAGGCAATTTTGCGAGACGTTATCTCAAAATAATGATGATGAAGAGGAGGAGGAGGAGGAGGAGGATGGGGATGTAGCTCAGTGTGAAGACCCTGGGTTAAATTCTGGGTACTGAAAAAAAAGAAAAGAGAAGAGGGGGACACAGAAACTCCTGGACTAACCACACTCTCCCCCAGGCTTTCCACTCGCAGACCCTCCCCTTTATGGCCACCCGGATAGGCACCTTCAGGATGGACCTGGGCATTGCCTTTGACCAGCCAGGTACCAAACCACCCCCTTACTGAGACTCGTCTGCCGACCCGGAAGTGAACTCCGTATGGGCCCTGAGGCAGCCATCTCTAGAGAAGGCTGACCTTCCACGCACTGGCGGTCCTCCCTCCTGAGCCAGACAGGAGCCGGACCACTGTCCAACTGTGTCACAGCTGTACGACCGCCCAGTGCATCTGGCTGGTGTTTCCTGACCCCCGGTCTTTCCCACGCCCGCAGATGGCCTCTTCTACCAAAAATGGGCTCCTCTACACGACCCCCGGGATACCCGCGCCGGGACCAAGGGCTTCGTCAAGGTCACCTTGTCCGTGAAGGCACGCGGGGACCTGCCCCCTCCTTTACCACCCCTTGGCCCGGGGCAGAGTTCGGACATTGAGAAGTGAGCTGAGAGGAGGTGGGAGGGAGAGTCCGAAGGCGAGGAGCTGCAGCACCTCTAGCTTCTCGGTTTCCCAGGAACCTGCTCCTGCCCCGCGGGGTGCGCTCTGAGAGGCCGTGGGCGCGGCTGCGCGTCCGCGT